TTTAATGTGTGTGTGTGTGATTATATTGCCTACATGTATATATGTGTACCTGTGTGGTGCAGTGCCAGTGGAAATCAGAAGAAGGCGTCAAATCCCCTAGAACTGGAGTTACAGATGGGTGTTAGCTGCCATGTGGGTGCTGGGAATTGAACCCGGGTCCTCTGCAAGAACAGTCAGTGCTCTTAACCGCTGAGCCATCTTTCCAACCCTTCAACCTTTCTTATACAATACAGGACCACCTGTGCAAGGGTGGCACTGCCAATAGTGGGCTGGGCTCACCCACATCACTCAACAGTCAAGAAAACGCCCCACAGACATGGCCGCAGGTCAGTCCAATGGAGACAGTTCCTCAGTTGAGGTCCCCTCTATCCAGGTGTGTCAGGTTGACAACTAAATCTGTCCAGCACACCTCCTTTGCCAGGTACTGAACTCATCTGTGTTCCACAAGAAAGTACTTCATGTTTTCATGTCACATAATCCACCAAACTTAGCACAGCTGTCTAAAGGAACTGCTTGCAGTGAGTGATGTCTTTAAGGATAGCTAATGAAGGGTCCATGGGAAGATTTCGGTTTCCTGTTCTAAGCAGCATAGTTACACAAATTTACTAAAAGTGGTGCTTAATCAAGTCCCTTCTGCGTGCTCAGCCTCAGGTGGTACCTGGTCCTGACCGGCCCAATGGCTGATGGATGACTCTGTTTTCTCTTTCAGATATAATGGTGAAGTAGGAGACATTGTCGTGGGGAGAATCACAGAGGTAAACCTGGTGTTTTCTCTTTTTTGTCTTTTTGAGATGGTCTCCCAGTAGCCCCAACTGTCCTGGAACTCACTATGTAGACCAGGCTGTCCTTGAACTCACAGAGATCTGCCTGCCTCTGCCTCCCGCGTGCCCAGCCAAAGCTGGTGTTTTCTACAGGTCAGGTTTTACCTAGTAAAGGCACGCTAGTGACTTAAGGAGTTGGGACAATTACTCAACAAATAGTTCTGTGAAGAAAGTATTCCTTGCCATAGGCTGGGTGTTGTATTGGCTATGTGCGGGATTACTGGATTCAGGGTATGCCCAGGAGTGTGCCTCCGGGTGTACAACTGTTTCCTCATAGGTTCAACAGAAGAGGTGGAAGGTGGAGACCAACTCCAGGCTGGATTCTGTCTTGCTTCTGTCGTCTATGAACCTGCCTGGAGGAGAACTGGTAAGAGCTCAGCTAGGTCCTGGAACTGTACGGTTGAGTGTGTGACCTCTGCTCCACCAGGGAACCCTGCTTTGCGCTAAGCTTGCCCTATTGCTGTGTGTCTCAAGGATTGCTACCTGAGTGAATAGGGAGGCTTTTCTCCTGGCCATGGTCTCTCAGCACAGGCAGCAGCTAGCGTGTGGTAAGATCAGAAATATCCATGGGGTGTGTTCCCAAAGGGGCTTCAGGGAGAAGCTCTTGGAGCATGATGCCAATTTCCTAACTTGCTTGATCCACGTTGCACTGTAAAGGTATTCTTTGTAAAGGTTTTCTCTAGATTCGTTTGTTTTGGACTTTTTGAGACAGGGGTCTCTTTGTCCAGCTGTCCTGGAACTCACTATGTAGACCAGGCTGGCCTTGAACTCACAAAGATCTGCCTGCCTCCGCCTCCTGAGTGCTGGGACTAAAGGTGTGTGCCACCATGTCCAGCTTAGATTCTTAGATTTTTTTTTTTTTTTTTTTTTTTGGTGTGTGTGAATTAACCGGAACTTGGTTATTCCAGAGAGTGGCAGCATTTTGTCAACACCATAGTTTGTCCGTGGTCCATTTCAGAGAGGCTCCCTGTGCTGGGGCCCGTGGAGAGTGCCAGGATAAGGGAGGCTCGATTGAGTTCCCCAAGCGGCTTACTGACCTGACTGGCGGGGGATGTGAAACAGCTGATCCACACGGCGGCCGGAGGAGAATGAACATGCACGGCGTGCAGAAAGAGTGGTTATTTAATAGGACAGACAACTGTGTTGAGTGATCCTTGAAGGATGGCGATGAGGGAGGGACTCAGGTGAAGGGAGTGTGTGAGCTGAGATAGTGCCCGGCAGGAGTGGGCTGGGTGGGATTGAAAGGGTTTCACAGATGAGGCAGCCTGTTTGTTCCTTAGAGGAGGGTCCCTCCAGGTGGAGAGCCAGGATCGTTGGCCTTGTTCCTCTCCAGGGGCTCAGGTCCCCTCCTCTTGCCTTAGTTGTTCGTGTTTAAATATCACAGTCGGCTTCACAGAGCTCAAGAAAAGCAATGGAAAGATTTCTTCCTGAGGGTCCAGCTTACGTTCTGTGCTCATTTCTGTGTTTCAGAGGAGAAGGTCTGCGGAAGACGAACTGGCCATGAGAGGCTTCTTGCAGGAGGGTGACCTCATCAGCGTATCCTGCACGTGGAGCTCTTGCCTGCAGCTTTCCCTTGAGGCCGGCAGTGGGGCTTGCCCTGCATCTCTGACCAGAGGAATGTAATCCTTGGATGCCCCAGCTCTTAGTCAGATTTGTGCCAACTCAATTCTTTGGGTCTTGTAACGTTTGGAGACCTCTGCTGCAGGCAAGACACAACTGTTTTGTTTTTTTTTTTTTTTTGAGATGGGGTCTCTTGTCTTACACTGTACCCCAGGCTGGCCTGGAACTTATGGCATTTCTGCCTCAGCTTCCTGAGTACTGAAATTACAGGTGTGAGCCACCATGCTGGGCTTAGATGCTTTTTTATTAAAATTTTTGAAAAATTACATTTGTTGGGCCAGGTATGGTGATGCACACCTTTAGTCCCAGTGCTCAGGAGGCAGAGGTAGGCAGATCTCTGAGTTTGAGGCCAGCCTGGTCTACATAGTGAGTTCCAGGCCAGCTGGGGCTACTGGGAGACCCTGTCTCAAAAAGACCCCCCCCCCAAAAAAAATTACATTTATTTTTCTGGGTGTGGTGGTGTATGCCTTTAATCCTAGCAACCAGAGGCAGAGTCAGGCAGATCTCTGTGAGTTCAAGGCCAGCCTGGTCTATATAGCAAGGTCCAGGCCAGCCAGGGCTACACAGAGACACTGTCTCAAAAAGCAAAAAGATCAATTTTTTTACATTAATTTCCTGGCGTGTGTGTGGACACACATGTGCCGTGTTGTACACGTGGAGGTTAAGGTACAACTTTCGTGAGTTGGTCTACTCCCCCCATCATATGGGTCTCAGGGATTGAACTCAGAGCGTCAGACTTCGTGGCAAATGCCTTTACTGGCTAAGCCATCTCAGCAGCCCTTCAGTTTTCCTTTTTGTTTCTTATTTTGAGATGGGGTCTCACTATGTACCCTTGCTGGCTTGGAACTCTAGACCAGGCTGGTCTCATACAGAGATCCACCTGCCTCTGCCTCCCAACCGCTGGGGTTAAAAGCAGGTGCCACCATGCCTGGCTCTTAAGTTTTTTTAATGATCTAAACAATTGTCCCAGAGAGCAGAAAAGAGTGTATCAAGATTTTCTTGTCGTCCAAGGGGTTATAGTGTTGTCTTCTGGGTCTGTCTAAGGTCCAGGTGGGAGGGGATGCTAGATGAGGCAGGTGGCATAAGAACAGGTTGTGGAGACTGCTGTTGTTCCTTGATCACCCTGGCAGGCTGAGGTCCAGGCTGTGTTCTCAGATGGAGCTGTGTCTCTGCACACAAGGAGCCTCAAATATGGAAAGGTAAGTCAGGCTCATTAGGCTTCAGGTCCAGGCCTGAATCACCAGAGCTCCCTGGCCGACTGACCTAAACGACCTGGCAGTTAGTTAGCTGGGTGTCATGTCAGGGGCCTGTAATTCCAGCCCTCAGGAGATTGAGGTAGGAGAATCTGAAGTTTGAGAGTTAGAGATCAGCCTGGGCTACATAGTGAGAGAAATACCACCCTCCCATCTCAAAACAAAAAGCAACGCAGAGCCTAGTTCTTTAAGACTAACGGCATCTCAGCCTCATGGTGGTCCCAGGGCCTAGTGGGAGGGGAGAGGATCTGCATGGTCAGTGGCATGACAAAGGGTGATTAATGACTTAAGTCCTTTTCTTCCTGAGGAGGCTGTTCTGGTGGAGCCCCTCTGCCTGGAGCTGGGAGGCTCTGTTCCCTCTGGAGTATGCCTTACCCAGCCCTGGGACCAGGCTGAGAGGCCAACTGCATGCCTGCAGAGCCAAGCGAGGGGCTACACTCAGCCCTGGTCTATAGTCCAGTTGATATGGTGGATATTATTGCTGGCAAAGACGGAATTGCCATCTGGGCCTCTAGATGAAACTCTGCCACTTCTATGCAGTTACATTATTGAAGCTATTTATTTTTTAAAGATGGTGTGCTTCTTAGAACCCATTAGGGTGTATTATTTCTTGGCTCTTCATTTTCTGAGAGGAATAAAAACTGTCTTCCTTTAATGAAGTGGGAGCAGTCGCCACGTTCGTGGACTTGAAGTAGGACTGAGCATTGTGCTGTGTGTGCTGACTTCACAGCTGGGTGCTGTAGACCCTTCCCCAGCAGGATGTGGACCTAGAACTGGCCTGTCAGGACCAGGCAGGGATTTGCCAACCCAGTGGCCCACATGCGTATTTGAGTTTAAAATCCATACTACGGTCAGGGCTAGAGACATGGCTCAGTGGTTAAGAGCACGGGCTATTCTTACAGAAGACCCAGGTCTGAATCCCAGCACCCATATGGCAGCTAACAACTGTCCGTAATTCCAGTCCAGGGGATCTGACAGCCTCTTCTGTCCTCTGCAGACATTGTACATGTGCACTTACCTACATGCAGACAACACACACATACACATAAATAAAAATAATAATTAAAAAAATGATTCATACAAAGTCCATACTAGGGTCATGGAATGCAATTGTTCTTTGGCCAGTGTAGGCTCCTCGTTGACTCCAGGTTCCCGAGCAGCCAGCACACCTGCTCTGGGTTAGAAGGTGAAGACTCTGTAAACTGCAAAGGGAGGTGATAGATGAGTGTTGACAGCTACCTTTTAATTAAATTTTTTGGTTTTTTGAGACAGGGTCTCGCTGTGTAGCCCTGGAACTTGCTATGTAGACCAGGCTGGCCCCAAATTCAGAGATCTGCCTGCCTCTGCTACCTGGGATTAAAGGCATGTGCCACCATGCCTAGCTAAAAAAAATATTTCTATTGCCTTATTTAGAGTGTGTGCACCTGCATGTGTGTGGAGGAGGTCAGAGGACTGTGGGAGTTAGTTCTCTCCTACCACATGGGTTTCAGGGATTGAACTTGGGCCACAAGTGCCTTTATCTGCTGAGCCATCCTGCCAGCCTGACATCTTTGGGGATGTATAAACAGCCCACGGTCCCAGAAATACTTTCTGCAAAGCGCATGTGTGCACTGAGCGACAGCAGTGTCAATAGGAAGAATGACTGGGGTGTATCTAAGAGATGTGTTCTGGGACCTGCTTCTGTTTCTCGTTCTTTTGGGGGTGGGGTGGGCTTACTAGGTAGCCCAGCTGGCCTGGAATTAGTGATCTTGCCTCAGCCTCTGGTTTCTGGGTTTCTAGGCATGTGCCACCATACCTGGCTTATGATCTATTTCCTTTTTGTTTGCTGTTTTGAGACAAAGCCTCATGTAGCCTAGGCTGGCCCGGAACTTGACCCTTCTGCCTCAGCCTCCCAAGTGCTGGATCATAAGCAACCTCCACTTTGCTCTTTTTTTTTTTTTTTTTTTTGGTCTTTTTGAGATGGGGTCTCCCTGTAGCCCCAGCTGACCTGGAACTCACTATGTAGACCAGGCTGGCCTTGAACTCACAGAGATCCGCCTGCCTCTGCCTCCCAAGTGCTGGGACCACAGGCTTGCGCCACCACGCCCGGCTACTTTGCTCATTTTATGATCTGTTTCTTCAGCTAGGTCAGGGAGTTTTAGTCCAGGTTTCACCTTCCCTGGTGAAACGGCAAAAAACTCATTTTCATGACCTGCCATGTGGTGCCTCAGTGATTCTGGGCAACAACGGCTTCATCTGGATCTACCCAACACCCGAGCACAAAGATGAGGATGGTGGAGGCTTCGTTGCAAACCTGGAGGTGAGTGAGCATCACCACTGTTGATGGGGCCGAGGGATCTCTCCTGTGCTTTAATGGCAGGTAGAGTCTGTTGGCCATGTGTGTGTGTCAGGGGGGCGGGTAGCCAGAGAGCCATGGCACATAGGTAGAGGTTAGAGCAACCTTGTTGGAGATAGGGTCTCTGCTGCTGTGTTAGCCAGGCTAGCTGGCCTGTGAGCCTCTGGAAATGCCAGATTTGTCTCCCATCTTCTTACAGGATGTGCTGGGGTTACAGAAGATTGTGCTACTTCATCCAGCTTTTGTGGGGATCTGGGGGTCTGAACTCAGGTTGTTAGGCTTGTATACCAAGCACTTTTACCCCTTTTTAATAATTATAGTTTCCTGAGGCCAGCAGTGTGGTGGCACACGCCTTTAATCCCAGCACTCAGGGAGGCAGAGGCGAGCAGATCTCTGTGAGTTCAAAGCCAGCCTGGTCTATATAGTGAGTTCCAGGCCAGCTGGGGCTACAGGGAGACCCTGTCTCAAAAAGACCCAAAAAAAAAAAAAAAAAAAGGGAAAACCCCACAAAGCTATAGTTTCCTGCCACTTAATGTCCAGGATCTGTTAAGTCACGTTTCTGGGGGTGAACACCTGAGGGTTTGTTTAGAAGGGCAGCTGCTGTGGCGTGATCTTAGGAGCCCACTGTTGTGGTCTGCTGGTGACTGAAATCTCACTGTGTGCCACTGCTGTTGAGTCTGAGGCTGTTGCGTGTCATGCCTTCTCTTCATTGAAGAGATGAGCTCTGGCTGCGGAGCTCTGGCTGGTGGAGGTGGCAGAGTAGCAGTCCACTGAAGAAGCCACAGGGCTCATGGGATGGTGCAGATGGTAAAGATGGCACTTGCCTCGTACGCACATGAACCTCAGTCTGCTCCTCCATGACCCATGTACAAATGATGGGGGCATCTGTAATTCCAGCACTGGGAGGCGGAGATGGGCATCCCTGGGGCTAGCCATTCTAGCCTAACTGGTAAGATGTAGCCTGTGAGACCCTGGCTCAAAGGAGATCCTGAGGATGAAACTTGAGGTAGTCCTGTGGCCTCCACGTGCATGTGCATTTGTGTGCATATGCACACACGAACATGTACACATTAAAAAAAATCCAGAGTTTTCTGATTGAGTGACTTGGAGTGCCACGATGGAAATGAGTGTGGCCTCTCGCCTGTGACTTCTGGGGACTGCTTATTTTGGTTCCTTCCCGTGTGTCCCTGACAGCCTGTCTCCCTTGGTGATCGAGAGGTAATATCCCGGCTCCGGAACTGCGTGGTCTTGCTGGTCACCCAGAGGATGATGCTGTATGACACCAGCATCCTGTACTGCTATGAGGCCTCCCTTCCGCACCAGGTACCAGCTGTGTGTTTATTTGGTGCCCCACATTCCCCCAACATACTCATCAGCAGAACTGGCCCCAAGAGAGCCTTCATGTTCCCCTGAGATATTTGCAGTATTCTCAGTGTCTAGTACCATGCTTGGGATTTGGGGTGGAGTGCTATGTAGGACTCCTTATGCCAACAATCCTCTCTCCCACCCTAAATTTCAGCCATCTTTCTAATGACTCTCAGAACAGAATGTCTGTTCTTGTCAGCTAGCCCAGGTAATTTTATTTTTAGGCAGAGTCTCCTTATAGCTCTGGCTGGCCTGGAACTCACTAAGTAGACCAGGCTGGCCTCAATCTCACAGAGATCTGCTTGCCTCGGCCTCCCAAGTGCTGGGACTAAGGGCATGCGTCACCATGCCCAGTTATCCCAGGGAATCTTGCTGGCTTATTAAGCCAGGTCTGGGTCCTAGCTTACAGCACTTAGTCTCTGAAGGAGGTGTGGAATACCAGGCTTCCTTTATTTTGGGTGACTTGGTAGTTTGCTTACAGTTCATTTCTGTGTGGAACACATCCCTTTTTTTTTTTTTTTCAGATCAAAGACATCTTAAAGCCAGAAATAATGGAGGAGATTGTGCTGGAAACACGCCAGAGGCTTTTGGAGCAGGAAGGATGAGGCCAGGCTCCTGAGGATGGGGCTGTGCACCTCTCTGGGGCAGCTGGGAATGAAGAGCAGCTGTGTGGCTCCCACATGTGGCCCAGGGAGAAGCCGAAACGCATCACTCACCTGCAGTGTAGCTGAGGCGGGCCTCTTCTGTTCCGAGACAAAGCTGGGGTGGGACTGAATCCTGCATTGGTACAAGGGGTGGTTACAGCCTTTCAGAGCACAGTGTCCCAGCCAGATGACTTCTCATCCTGGGGTAATGTGGAGAGTCCATGTCTTCCAGTCACCATAATCCATGCCGTACAGTGTCCCACGAAACCGCCCTGATAGAAAGCATGGCGGCTGCGGATATGGCTCAGGGGCAGAGGACTTGCCTCGCTTGTGTAAGGTCCTGGGTTCGGTTCCCCAGTCCAAGAGAGAAAGAGAGAAGACGCGGCATCACCAGCCCCCAAGTGGTCTGCCTTGGCTTCTACTCCACCTCCTTTAAAGCGGAATTCTGTGGTTAGAGAGTAGAGGGTAAAGTTAGGCCAGCAGCCAAATGGCCTTAAGCATAAAGAGAACCAAATGGCCTTTGCCTGCTTTAATTTCGCTTTCCACTGTGTGCGCCTTCTGGTGGAAGGTTTGAGGGTTCCGTACCTTACACTGCCCCATCCTGCCTGACAGCATGGTTTGTAAGAAGCTGGGCTATTGTCAATAATGGAGAGAATGAATGTCTGTCTTTTTGATGCTCTGATAAGCAAAGAAAACAGAAAAATGGAGGTGGGAAAGCCATGCTGTTTTCCTTGTATAACCTAAGTAGTGACCTTTGCATAATTGAGAGAAGCTAAAAACAAGGTGCCTGAGTCTCCACTGAGCCTGTGGATTCCTATGCTTTGTTTTCCTGATGACTGGGAAATGGTGCTCTGCCCAGTGTGGGAGTGCGGCCTGCAAGCCCAAGGACAGAGGCAGGAGTCTGAGGCCAACCTGGGCTATGTAGTGAGACTGTCTCACCAAACAAAATAAAAGGTGGTGCTCTGATTTTAACTTTTCTTTCAATTAACTTTTAAGAATGTTTTTACATGTATTTATTTTGTGTGTTATATTTATTTATATGTGTGGATATGGGTACCCTCCTGCAACAGCATGTATGTGGCGGTCAGGACAACTTGGAGTCATTTCCTTCCATGTCAGTTCCAAGAATCCAACTCAGGTCATTAGGCTTAGCAGCAAGCACTCTTACCCATTGAACCATCTCACTGGCTCCAAACATACATTTATTTATTTTTGGCAGTGCTAAGGATAGAATCCAGGGCCTTGTGCATTGTAGGCAAGGGCTCAGCCCCTGAACTATGGCCCAACTGATTAGCAATTTTTTATTCTTTGAGAATTCCATAGATGTACATAGTGTATTTTGATGATATATACTCCCTACCCTCCAACTCCTCCTAGATGTCACCACATGTCCCCCTTGCAACTTCATGTCCTTTTTTAAAGCCCAGAGTTTAGTTAGTGCTGTCCATAGGGTAGGTGTGGGGCCATTCTCTGACACCTACCTGGGCAACCTATCAGGAGCCATACCTTCCAAGAAAAATGACTCCTTACCCCACAGTCCACATCCGTAAGCTACTTTTTGGCACTTAGAAATGTGCTAGCATTGGTCGGTTTCGCTACAGGAGGGCTCAGCAGCGCCCACACGATGATTGGGGGTGGGGGTCACCCAGTAACACTTCAACTAAGAGTACTTTTACTGAATGGCATTTCCCGGTTGTGAAATTTGGTTATCTATCAAATGGTATACTTCCATATGGCCTATATTAGTTATTTTATGTGATGCTGTGCTAATACCTGACAAGCAACCTAGGAAAGCAGGCTTTGTTCCGCTCACGGCTGCATAGTACCGTCCATCCTGGTGGGGAGGTCGTGGCAGGAGCATGAGGTGGCTGCTCACTTTGCATCCATGGGAAGCAGAGCTAAATGCTGCTTGTTGTTCAGCTCCCTCCTTTCTCCTCAGCCCTGGAATGGTGGTCGTCCCGTTGTGATCATTCTTACTCAACCCAATCTAGAAACTTGCTTATAGACATGCTCAAAGGTTTGTTTCCATGGTGATTCCAAATCTCATCACGTTTACGATCAAGATTAAGCACAGCTTCATTCAATAGACAACTTTTTATTTTACTTTTATTTTATCCCATGTTCCACCTGCTTTAAGGAATCCAAAGACAACTGAATTTTCTAGAGCTGTTCTGAGCAACTTAGGTTGGCTCACCTGTCTCACTTTGAAATTTCCAGGCTGTTTGCCTCTTAAGGCATTGGGAGTGGGAGCCTGAGTCCACTGAAGCTCACCTGTCCTCACCTGTTTCTCTCAAGCCTATGTGGCAGCCACCCTCTCAAAAGTTGAGAAGCAACTTTTGTGGGTTCCTGTTTCCATGGCCTCCAGAGGGCGCCCTTGGAGAGTGTAACTACACAATAGGTGCAAGAAAAAGCTGAAATTTTGTTAGCTTTGCTTATGAAAGTGAGGGCAAAATCAGATGGAACTGAACAGCTTTTAATGAAGTGAATCTGAGCTTTAAGGGATGTATTAAACATTGGTTTAATATTCTATTAGGCTTTTGCTGGGCTCTGCATTCATTCTATAGTTTGAAGCCCTTAAAAATTTCTAGTGTTAAAAAGTACAGCGCACCTCTAGAAAAAATACACACTGGGCTTGGGGCTTCCCTGAAAGTACAGTGAGAGGGGAAATGTCAGGGATAAGGCTGTAGAGCAAGCGTGGTGGCCATACAGTGGCCACCAGAAGCTGCGTCTCAGGTTGGGAAACCAAGGTCTAATTTGATACCATCATCATCAGATACAGTAAGTAGTCATGGCCCTGCTTTTAGGGGAGGAAACCAATTTGGTTTGGAACTCACTATGTAGCCAAGGCTGACCTTGAGCTCAGATAATGCCTGCTTCTGCCTCCCAAGTGCTGAAATTAAAGGCATGTGACACCATGCCCAGCAGATTTCTAAACCCCTTGAGAACACAGGTTGGCCTGGTTGAGAAAGGCTATGGATTACGGTATTGAGGCCAATTTTTGTTTAGATCATTGCTTGTTTTGGTACTGTCTGTCCTTCCTTTGGGCTCCCTGGTGGTAAGACACCTTCCCCTGATGGTATAGGCCATTACCAGGAACAGGTGCTTAGTTAATGCATGTTAACTAGTCAGTAGGACTGGGGATGTAGCTCAGTTGGTAGTATGCTTGCCTAGCGTTGAGGCTCTGGGTTCCATCCACACTGCATAAACCAGTTGTGGTGGAGCATACCTGCCCCTTGGGAGGTAGAAGCAGGAGGATCAGAAGTTCAAGGTCACCTTTAGCTACCTAGGGAGTCTGTGACCAGCCTGGACTAGAGATCCTGTCTCAAATGAAACTAAATAAAACCAAGTAACAGTGAATTAGTTCAAGAACGTGTCTTGAATTATGATTTGGAATGTAGACATGAAGGAAATGGTTAAAGCATGAGTAGGAAGAAAAAGTAAAACTGCTGGGAGCTGACTGCTCTGGCAGAGGAGCCTGGTTCATTTCCCAGCACCCACATGGTCACATGGCCTCTAACAACAGTCCTTAACTCCAGTTCTGGCACCCTCTTCTGGCCTCAGCTCTGCATGCACATGGTATACTTGTATGCAGGCAAAACACACATAAAATAAAATAAATCTAAAGCTGGGTGTGGTGATGCACACCTTTAATCCCAGCACTCGGGAGGCAGAGGCAGGTGGGTCTTTGTGAGTTCAAGGCCAGTCTGGTCTACATAGTGAGTTCTAGGACAGATGGGGCTACAGGGAGACCCTGTCTCAAAAAGATCAAAAATCAATCTTAAAAAAGCAAACGTCAAAAATAAGAGTAGTAGTCTGGATAAGAATAGGTAAATATGGGGAGCAAAAGCATCGGTTTGAGGACTGGCTTTGCAGATGAGGACTAAGTTTGACAGCCAAACCATTATAACCCGAATAAACAGTTTGCCAACCAGATTATTTTGTGAGTGGGCAAAACCAATATCAACTCAGATGTTATAAACTTATAAACTCATATAAGTTTCAGCTCTAATTCTGGATGCAAATTTTTATGTATTTCACATTCAATATTTTCAAGTAACTTCTTTAATAACTGAAACACCATTTAAGTGTCACTTTTTGTTTTGTTTTGAGACAGGGTCTCCCTGTAACCCCAGTTGGCCTGGAACTCACTGTGTAGACCAGGCTGGCCTCCAACTCAGAGATCCGCCTGCCTTTGCCTCCCAAGTGCTAGGATTAAAGGCATGCACCACCACACCTGGTTTAAGTGTCACTTTTTTTTTTTTTAAACAGTAATTCATTCATTCTTTATTCTTTTTTTTTTCCCCAGAGCTGAGGACCAAACCCAGGGCCTTGTGCTTCCCTAGCAAACACCTCTACCACTGAGTTAAATCCCCAACCCCCTTTTTTTCTTTTTTAAAATATTTTATTAGTTTTATGTGTATGAGTGTGTTGCCTGCATGTATGTGAATGCACCCGTGTCATGCAATGCCGCGGAGGTCAGAAGAGGGCTTCAGATTCCCCTGGAACTGGGATTAAGGACGGGTCCTAGCCGCCATGTGGGTGCTGGGAATCGAACCCCGGGTTCTCTGCAAGAGCAGTCCGTGCTCTTAACGGCTGAGCCGTCTCTCCAGCCCCTAGCCCCTGTCACTTCTTAATTTGGCAGCGTATTTCTAAAATACTCTGTGCTCATGTTACAGCTGTGTCCCCTGATGTCAGTAGCAACTTTTGAAAAATTGTGACATTAGCTCAAGAGGCCAGGCATGGTGGTGTAAACCTGTAATCCGAGCACTCTAGAGGTAGAGGTAGACGAATCTTTGTGAGTTCAAGGCCAGCTTGATCTACATAGTTCCAGGTTGGCCAGGATTGCATAGTAAGATCCTGTCTCAAGAAAACAAAGAAGGGGGTGGGGGTGAGCTGGAGAGATGGCTTAGTGTTAAGAGCACTGGCTGCTCTTGCAGAGGACCTGGGTTCTAGTCCCAGCACCCACATGGCAGCTAACTCCAGTTACAGGGGATCCGACGTCCTCTTCTAGCCTCCTCGGGCATTGCATGGCACGGGTGCATTTCATGCATGCAGGTATTGCATTCATACGCATTAAAAAAAAAAATCTTAAAAGAAATGGGTATATCCTGGCCGGGTAACGGGGACGGTGAGGAATATAGGAGCACCAGGTGCTGTTTGGTTGCAGAGGATGAATTCAAAGGTGTAAGTGATTAGCTCTGCTGGCCTGCGAGACCTAATAACCTGGGCATTTTTTCGCCTAACACGAAGGACGGTTGTGTCTAACTTGTGGTACAAACAAGCCATCGCTGATGCTTGTGTTCTCTGTATTTCTTCGCTGGATTCAATACGTATACCTTCCGGAAGCGATGAGGGTGCAAAGCATCAAGTATCTTCGTTTCTAGGAGCGAGCCAAATTTTCTCCCCCTCCCCCAACCAGGCTCAAGGAAGTCATCTAACTCCAGTTCTGGAGAAATCCAATCCGCAGTTTTCACTTCGCTCAGGCTCTCCGCCGTTCTTGCAGCTCGCGCAGAAGAAACACTGGCCGCCCGACCCGAGGTGGACCCGAGTCCATTGGCTCCCTGGAGGCGGGGCCAGCAACGCCGGCGCGCGGCCTGCCGACTCCGGGACTACATCTCCCACCACGCCCCGCGGCGCCGCCGAGCGCGGCTTGCTGGTGGCTCTCGCCCTCACTGACCAATGGGATGGAGGAGAGTAGCCTGACTCGGGTTCCCGAGGGCCAATGGTAGTGCAGAGGAGGCGGGCACTTCCTCACTGCTCACCTCGAGCTCTGAAAAGCCACCTTTAAAAGGTCGTGCCGGGCCCGGCTGTCGCGCATAGTGAGGCCGGAGCACGAAGCTACCGCGGCGGGGAGCGGGAGAGCAGCACCAGTGTCTCCTTCGCGCGCACGCGGGACCTTCCGACGTCGCAGGGGGCGGGGCCGGGGGCGGGGCCGGGCCTCGTTGTGGAGCTACTCGTAATCCATCATGGCGGCGGCGGGGCTCGGCGTCTGTCCCTGAACGGCGCTGGAGCCGGAGCCGGGTTCTGGGTCCTGCGGCTGAGGAGCCCCTCCGCGGTCCGCGCCCCCGCCGACGGGAGAGTCCGAGTCCCTCGGCAGAGCCCGGGGATGTGACTGCCCGGCAGCGGCGGCGTCCGGGGCCGCGGGAGGGGTGTCTCGGGCACAGAGACCCTCGGGCGCGGGGGCAACGGAGGCGCCGGGCCTCCTCCCCTGCTCTCGCCTCCAGCCATCAGGGCCGCGGGAGCCCGTCGTCCCGACCAGCCCTGCCCTGGCTTGGGGACGCCAGGGTGGGCTCAGTGTCCCCCCGAACCGGCGTGGAGCAGCGTCGCCCCCGAGTAAGCCGCGGGTGCCCCGCCCGAGCCGTGTCAGTCTCGCCCCCAGGCCGCCCCTGGCTGGGTTTCGGCCCCCAGTTTGGCTACGGAGCCCCTGGTTCAAATCATCCCCCCGGCTGTCAAGGGGTCCCGGCTCCCTCCCCCAGATTGCTCCCTCCAACCTCCTATGCCCGGGTTCTTCCAATGACACCTCCAGCCCCTTGGGTGTTGGTGCAGCCCCAAACTTTAACGCTGAGGAAGAGTCAGGGTTGGTTCCACAGGCCTTTTAAAAAGCGGACTTAAAAGTTGCTGGCAATGCATTCCTTCTCAAAGTGGAGAGCAAGCGCTCGTTGAAATCTAGGTGACCCGGGTCCTCTGCTCGGAGAGCCAGGGCAGGGAAAGGGAGAGCCGTAGGGAATCTGTTGGAAGACGGGGAGACAAAGATAGGGGAATGGTGGCTTCCACGGGAAAAGTTGCAGAGACGCAGCCAAAGACCGTTTTCCTTCTCGCACGGAAATCGAAATGACTTTTAGTACCGTTGGCCCCCTTCAGAATAACCCTGTGAATATTTCTCTTTGAATTTTTCTTCTTGAAACTGTTATTCAGCCTGCCAAATAGACTTACAATCAAGAAACCTTTTGGGGAGCGTTGTGGTTACGTTACTTCGAGTTGATAAGCTTGGAAAAGAATTGAGACTCCTGTTTACATATGTGAACCTAAAACTGCTTCCTTTTGTCAGGGAAGTAGTCTTTTCTGTGATCGACCTCAGTCACTGACTTGAGAGATGGTTTTGTGAAGTTCTAGGTGCATACCGTGTTCTGCTAAGCCCCACCGACCCTACTGGAAGATCTTGAGCCCTCTTCTGGAAAGGGGTGCCCATCGTTGCTTTATGGGGCAACAGCCTGGAAAAGTTCTTGGGGACCAAAGAAGGCCAAGTTTGCCTGCCCTGCACTTTATCAAAGGAGCAGGGAAAAAGGACTCATCGAGACATGGGGGTCCACACTGTAATGTTTTTGTGGAACATGGTAAGTACTTTTCAAGATTTCTGATCATGTTTTTCCTTAATGTGTTTGGACCTAGGTCATCAAGGAATTTTCTGGAACAGAACTTACGGTCAATTACTTTTAGGTTTACTTAGCATTTTTGTTACTGTGGTTATCTCTTAGGTTCTGGTAGAATATTTCTTTGTATAAGAAAATGACAGCTTTATTCAGAAGCTGCCTAAGTCGCTCATTTCTTGCCCAATCCACTTGTAGTTCATTGTTGACCTTGGACAAGTCATTTTACTGTTTGGGGACTGAGTTCCCCCTGGGGGGTTTGGGCTTCAGTGGTTTTGTAGCATCCACACTTGTCTGCTCTAAGTAAAGGCAAGGAGTCTTAGCCCATGTGCATGGTTCTTTTCCTGCTTCATCTACAAGAACTCATGTCACATCCTGGAAATGGTTGGTGCTCTCTAGATAGTACTGTCCTTGACCTTTTCAGTTACTAGTTGAACTTGCAAATTCTCACTGTGGAGCTAGGTGGGAAAAGTGCAGCGGACAAACAGCACTCTTCCTGAGCGGAGTCTTCTTCTCTTCCGTATGGAGTAGCCCTTTCAGGTAGATAGGGCTTTCTTGACCCCCTCTCCCCTCTTAGAGTGCCATTTGGGGCAGTGAAGGTTGTCTTTGACATTTTGCAAACATAGTTGGCATTTGAATACTGAGAGTACATGTGTTGTTGACTAGCAGTTAAGGGGCATTTAGACTAATGTAGGATGCAGCTGTCAGCTAGGAGCCAATTAATTAGGGTCCTGTCTCCTGTAGCAGCCCGCTGTTTCTCAGTTTGTGTGCTTGGAATTAAAGTATGGCTAGAGCCCTCATACCCTATAAGCACAGCATGTGTTCAGGTGTTGCATGCTTTGAAATTCAGTCATAAATACCTCTTAACAATGGGCGGCTACAGTAAACAAAGGCCACTTTTGGATAAACTTGCATTTAATGATTGAAAGTTTTTAAAAAACTTTAATTGATTTGAGAATTTTCTATAGTTTATTTTGATCATATTCAGACCCTGTCACCTCTCTTGAAGTTTTGTTTTCTTATAGAAAAGTACTTGTGCTCACCAAGTCTGTGTACCTTGGTTTTACTTTACCTTGAAACATTACTTTAAAAAAAAATTATTATTTTTATTTTGTGTATGCGTGTATTACCTGCATGTAAGTGCACCCGTGTTGTGCAATGCCTGTGGAGGACAGAAGAGGCTGTCGGATTCCCTGGAACTGGAGTTAAGGACAGTTGTTAGCTGCCATGCGGGTGCTGAGATTCAAACCCAGGTGTTCTGCAAGAACAACCAGTGTTCTTAACTGCTGAGCCATCTCTCCAGCCCCCTGAAATATTACTTCTTTTAGCATTGGTTTGAGGCAGGCACATGTGACAAGTTTGTTATGTTAAGATCGTCCCCAATTCACAACTTAGAACACGGTCACTGATGATTATGATGCAGCCTTAGTGACGTTTGATTGTGACTTTGGTAGTTCTGGCTGAATTTAAAACATGCATACCCAGGAGTCTTATGTCTGGACACTCAAGGAAAGTTTTGGCTCCAAGTTGTCTCTGATAACCTTTCTGGGCTTGAGAGGTTAAACTAGTTTCATTCTGAATTCTAAGATTTTATTTATTTATTTATTTATTTATTTATTTATGGTTTTGGTTTTGGTTTTTTGAGACAGGGTCTCCCTATAGCCCCAGCTGGCCTGACACTCACTATGTAGACCAGGTTGGCTTCAATTTCACAGAGATCTGCCTGAGATTTTATTTTTATTCATGTGAATGTGTATGTGTGTGACTATATAGCATATGTGTGCAGTTGCCTTCAGAGGCCAGAAGAGGGAGTTGGATCCTGTGGAGCTGGAATTCCAGGCAGTTGTGAGCTGTCCAACATGGGTGTTGAGAACTGAACTTGCATCCTCTGAAAGAGCCGCAGGTGCTGTTAACTACTGAGCTCTTGCTGTAGCCCCCAAATTCTGAGGTTTTGTTTGTTGTTTATGAGGTGGGTTGGTCTCGAATTCTACAGTTCTCTTGTCCTTCCTGTTCTAGCTTGGTTTATAGAAGAATGTGATCTTGAAGTCTTTGATTCTCCTGCTCCCATTTCCCCAAGTCTTAAGATTGTAGGTGTGTTGAGGGGAGGTGTGTCTCACAGTCCATGGTCTGTGAGTGGAGGTCAGAGGACAGCTTTGTGGAGTTGGTTCCCTTCCACCTGTACATGAGTTCCAGGAATTGAACTCGGGTTGTCAGGCTTGCATGGCAAGTGCCTTTGCCATCTCAGTGGCCCAGGGGTTGTCTTTGGTGCTCTTTTTGGTCTTCAGCTGTGCACAGCATGATGGTCTTTCCAGGACCTGCCTTGTGATTGGATCTAGCTGCCCTCTTTTTTCTTTTTTTTTTTTTTTTTTTTTTTTTTTTTTTTTGGTCTTTTTCAGACAGGGTCTCCCTGTAGCCCCAGCTGTCCTGGAACTCACTATGTAGACCAGGCTGGCCTCAAACTCAAAGAGATCCTGCCTCTGATTAAAGGCTTGCGCCACCATGCCTCACAAGATTGATTGATTGATTGATTGATTGATTGATTGATTTGGATATATGTGTGTGAGTTTATGTGCACCGTGTGTGTGCAGGTGCCTACAGAGGCCAGAGCACCTTGGATCCCTTGGAATTGGAGTGATTGTCAACTGCCATGTTGGTGTTGGGAAACAAACTCAGGTCTTCAACAAGAGTAGTGAGTACTCTTAACCAATGACCCATGTCTCCAACACCAGGACTATCATTTTTACTTGAAACTGCAACTGACAGGCTATGGCTATTCAGACTAAAATTTGTCTTTCTTTCAAGGAAACAAACTGATTTTGGAAAACTTTTATTGCCACTGTGGTGTAGATGTCTGATAAAATTACAGGGGTGATCAGTGGACCAATGTTTTTAAGTGATCCAGTATGTGATATAAAGTCACACACGGGTGCTGGATGTGGTGGCTCATGCCTTTAGTTCGAACACTGAA